ATTTAAGTAATTCTCTGGTCTGCATCAATTTGAAAGTTTATGGAAAAAATGTATTTTCCAGATTTTATTGACCTAGTGATTTCTCTGTAAGGGCACAAGTTACCAAATATGAAGCTTTTCTGAAGATTTATTCGTATCTATTTATTGTGCAGGAATTAGAAAAATATCTAAACTATTTTCCTTTAATTATCGTCGGCAGTAAACAAGGCTGCACAGACTTGAAAAATCAAACTGTTAAACTTTTTTCAATACATTTTTGGTTGTTGTAAATGGAAAATAATAAAGCACTATTTTTGGGCAGATATGTTTAACTTTTGTTGAACTGGATTTGGATGTGGCCTCTTGGTTTCAAAAGTGAAGTCAATACATAAGTGCCTTAATCCTGCAGACTTTCTAAAGACTAAGAAGGGGTGATGCAAATATAATATGGCTACAGATATGAACCTGAACTCAAGGCTCTAAAAGTGGGGAGCACAAACCAATGGGTGATGACGTCACTGTTTCTATACGTCCAATGCTTTTATGACTTGGATGTAAAATATCATCTAAAAATGTGGTAAATTATTGATTTTTCAAAGGGAAAACGTGTAGGAGTATATCATCTATGTTTCCATTGCCAAGGTTGTCAGGATTAAAGTCATTCAGGGATGAATAAAGCTGGATAAAGATGGTACAAGAGTATAGCAAAAATGTGCATCATCATCCAAAATGCTTCTTTTGAAGTGAAGATAGGGCTTTAATAATGATTGAGCACCTTTAACACAGTTTTTATCATCTTCCTGCTCTGTGATTAGACATTTCTGTGGAAGTGACTGCAGGAGAAGATTCCTGAGCAGCTCTCCGAGATTTCTCCGTCTGTCCCTGTCAGCTCGAATCTACCGAAGCTCTGACTTGACATGAACAGACCAAAGAGGATGGCATTCAGGGTGTGTGACCATGTGTTCGCGCTTATATGTGTGTTCATGAGTTCAAGCTTGTGTGCTGTCAAGGTAACTTCAAGGAGCTGATTTATTCATGTCCTGCAGAGCGATTGTTAATTTTTCAGTTGGTGTGACGTGGAGTGATCTGCACTACGCTTCTGAGTTTGAGTGCATGTGCATGTTTGAGTGTGTGTTTGTGTATGTGTGTCCCATAAATGTCAGTCAGAAAAACTGCCTCAGCTCCTTCTCTCCCTCTCCATCTCCCTGTCGCCTTCGTTTTTTCTTCCAGCTTGTGTCTCTTTTAGCTCGAGAACCTCATTTATTCATGCTTCTGGGCCTTTGTTGCCATTTTCAGCTAGTTGCCAAGAACGCCTTTTGAAAAATTAACACAGACGACACGTTAAAGACAATAAATTAAACAATTCATTGCCCTGCTGCTGCTCGGGCGGATTTTAGAGTGTGCACATTTAAACCACTAACGTTTGTGCAGAGAGTAACACTCAGCCTGGGAGAAAGTTATTTTTACCTCCAGCTTAAAATATATTCATTTGGTTATTGTGTGGAGTTTTATATGAATGATTTCTGGTGCTTCGAGTTTTAGCTTGTTCCTGCTGCTCTGCTTTCAGTTTGTTATATGGTAAAAGGGACAAGGTGCTGGTGTCATTTCTAGTATAAGTCTAGTATTAGCCTGGTGCAGTGTCTAATGAATACTTACATTCAAAAAGTATGATTTTGTTTTTCATTATTCAGTGTATGCCTAAGTCAGAAAAGGCTTTACGTAAGCTAAGCACTCCTCATCCTGTAGTTTTCAGCTAGTCATTGTTTAGTAATTTGTATCCCAGAATTTGAATTACATCACTAACTACCAGTCATAATGTTTCACTAATGAAGGTTGAATTCAATATCTTTGGTCATTGGTCATCTGGTTATTTGCAGGGATTTGATGAAAAGCTTGATAAAACTCTCATTTTAAGGTTTAGCCTAGAGGCAATTAGCAGTAAACCGGTTAAACTCTGAAGGTCACTAGTTAGTCCTTTGTTATGTCTTTATTCAACCTGTCGAAGGCTACACAAATAGGAATGGGAAAAGAGTCCAAAGCCATGCAGGTCTGTGAAATTGCACTGAGGAATGGCCATGCTTTCAGGTAAATGTTATCATGCTACCATGCTGAAGTTGATGATGTAAAGGGCTAATGGTCAGCAGTTGTTTTTACCATGGTCGCCATCTAAGTGTGGCAAAGTATAGCCTACTAACATTTGGGAAATAATGCTAAAATCATTTGACTGTTTAAGAGGGTTTTTTAAGAAGTTTCAGATATCAGACAAAACCAGAATGTTTACTGCTGATTTTATTGATTAGATTAGAAAATCTTAAGTGGCTGTCCCAACACTGACAGAAATGATCCTTTGACAGGGCTCAAACAATAAACACAATTTAGGCCTACATTAAAAAAAAAACACATTTAAAGACCACACAAAGTTCAGACATTTAAAAGGCGACCAGCTGTTACAAAGTGTTTTATTTGATTCAGGGTAGTTATTGCAGAGGGAATAAAACATTTTTATGTGATGAAATTAATGATTTAAGAAATTAACATCTGCCAGATAGTCTTAGAAGTTATAATATTTTTAGGGTGAAGACATTGGACTGAAACAGGCAAATTGTTTATTGCTGCTTTCACTGTACTTGCTAAGCTAAGCTACTTGTGTAGACTGCAGATACAAACAAGCCAGAGAGCTAGCTTGGCTAAAAATGTGATTGTGTTTTTCCAGGGGTTTATGTGCTGGAATGATTTCTTTATGAATACAACATTCGCTAGCTTGTTAATTTAAAGTACTAGTGGCCTTTTTTTATGGGTTGGTGGGATATTGGACAGAACCGGATAGTTGTTTACTGCTAGCCTACGTTCAGTAAAAATGCTGAGCAAAGCTATTGTGAACACGTATTGCTCTTTACGCTGCATTCAAACATTAGAGTGGGTGTACATCTTCTTCATGCTGCATCAAAACTAAAGTCTTCAAGCCAAGACTTTCCCCTTCCCCTTTTTTTCTCTCCTCTCTCTTCTGACGCAGCTTTTTCACTCAGCCTCAGGGTTGATCCACTAATTTTAGCCTGGCAAAGAAGCAGTGACACAGATGGGACTCTTCTTGTTAATCTCATTTGCAATTCAAATTGTTTCTCTGTTCCTCCTCTATGTTTTTTTCTCTCCCAATTTTTATCATATACATCCACCTTGATCGTGTCATTTCTCCTTCACTCTATAGCACATTGCCTATTTTATTTGTAAAATACATAAGAAAGATCATTGAGCAATGCTGTCATACTGACCTGTAATGAGTCTTGAGATTTTTGTGTAGCAGTGAGTGAAAGTGTGGAAAAGCAGGAGCTACAGCTACTGATAAACGCAGTCAGATGTAAGGTTAAGCAGACGACACTGGAGGAAACACACTCTCACACACACACACGCTACTGGAGTGGATTTTGTGGAAAACTATTTAGATTTAAATGTACAGACATCATTATGTGTATTCACTTATCTCTGATGTCAGTCAGACCTGATAGAGTTCAGCTGTGACTAGATGACCCAAGGACAGCTTAGTGTGTCAAGGGTCTTCCCTCATATCTGCAAGGATGTTTGGTAGATTTATTGTCTGTTCCAAATTGTCCTAGACATCACAGACTAGTTTAGGTGGTTCAGTGTGACCCTGACGTCAATAATGTCTTTTTGATATATAGCAAAGCTTAGGGAGAGTTTGGCAGAATTGGCATAGCAGGGACACAGCATCAGATGTGTTCTGCTACTCCATCTCTGCTCCGGAGTATTCTTGTTTGTATATACTTTCTTCAACTTAAGCCATATGAGTCTCCTGAATCATTTTGAGTGTGAAGTCAAGTTCTTAGTTATTTCCTCAACAAACTGGTGTTACGGACCTTGGAAGTAAGTGCAAATAATTTGTATTCTTTGCGATTACCTGAGTTTGACGATATCAAAGGAAACTGTAATTCGGCTGAAATTATTAAAAAGCTTGACTACATGCTGTTGAATTATAGGTACCGGTATTATTATAAGTATATTTGCATATAATACAAATTGAATAAATTGTCAATGATTGAGAATCATTGATTGCTTGCATTTTCAAATTGGTGAGAGTTGGGCTGCCGGGCATCCTGCGGGGGTGTCTCGGAGGTCTGAGCCAGCTTTTGAGCTGTGACTTGACACAGATAAGACCAAACTGTGAACCTATATTCTAGGGGAGATGTCCCGGGGTGGATGAAAATTAATTTTGATAAGACCAGGAGGTGAATCTGTGTCCGGCGGGACCGAAGACTCTGTAGTCACAGGACTTTAGAGCAATAAGATTTGTGTGCACACTGAGCTGATTACTTAATGTATGGTAGTCGTTCGTTATTAACAGATCCAACACAATTCTAAGAACCTATACATTGTTCTATATATGCAAAGCCTGTGGAAGAGTTTGGCAGAATTGGCATTGTAGGGACACAGCATTAGATGTTTTCTGCTACTCCATCTCTCCTCCGGAGCATTCTTGTATGTATAAACTTTCTTCAACTTAAGCCATATGAGTCTCCTGAATCTTTCTTTCTGGAAGTCGAGTTCTGAGTAATTTCCTCAACAGCTACGATTGCTTCTCATTAAGAACATCAACAGATTCTGGACAAGTGCTTGATTACATTTGGATTACACTATTAGTGTAACACAGGATGAGTGGACTGTCTGAGCAAGTAAGGGAGATAATTACAGCAAACAATGCAACAACTCAAACACACATCAGTCTGTACTGTGAAATGAAAGTTTGAGCCTAATGACAGAAAACATTTATTTACTGCACAACAGGGTTGCTGCACACTTGAACAGAGACTTTAAAAGAGACTGCAAACTGACTTAAAATTAGTAACTCATTGGTTATATCACACAGTGTTTGAATACCAAGTTTGGACATTTCCTTAAATCAAATGTTTCTTGACTGCACAATGACTCATTATTGAATTGATCATTTCTACACAGTTTGAATGTAACTGACTGCCTCCCTCGTCTCTTTGCTTCTCTTTCTCCCACAGTGAGCAGAGTATCTGCCAGGCACGGGCCTCTGTCATGGTCTACGATGACACCAGTAAGAAGTGGGTGCCCATCAAGCCTGGACAGCAGGGATTCAGCCGTATCAACATCTACCACAACACTGCCAACAACACCTTCAGAGTGGTGGGCGTCAAACTGCAGGACCAGCAGGTAAGGGGGTAGAGATGAAGACATGCTGCTGTGTAGAAAACAGTGAATTTCTGCGGTTTAGTCGCAAGAGAGAGATATTTCATTGTGCTGTGGGAGGATTGCAGCATACAGACATTTCTGGCTTTTATGGGTTATGATTGTACGTTTTCTTTTAAGTAACTTGCAAGACATAATCCCTACAGCAGAGTTTAACAGAAGAAACTAATGTGGTTTGAAACAGAAACAGGTGCTCATAAGAACTGAGGACACCTTCTTCCTCTTTGTTTTTAATGTATGTTTGTGTTTAAGAAAACTAGGATTTCATTAGAGATTCCTCGGTCATTGTCTCTAAAGACAGAGTGTCATCAGTGCTCAATACTCTTAAATGTATGTTCATATGTTGATAAGATACTTTATAATATAAAGCTAAAAACCTGTAAAAGCTATAAAAACAGATTTGAAACTGGAAGAGTAATTCATGAAAATAAAAGGGAAAACAAATTCCAATAAAGTGGTTTCTGCCTTTAAAATTAGAAACCATAATAGTGAAATTAAATCAAGTTTAATGACTACTTGTTGTCAATCTCTTTCTGCCTAAGCCGTGTAATGCATTGTTGTTTGAAACAGTGATTTGACTTAAGATTACTTTTTAGTCACACAGAACTGAACTCATTTTAAAAGCAAATATCGTTCAAAACTTGTAAGCTGAAAAAAAAACTTTGAGTAGAATGAAATTCAAAATGCTGATCATATCCTTCAATGACCAAACCCAAATAAAAAAATGCATGCACACGTCTATTGTAAAAGATGTTTTTATTCAAATATTTGTTTGAGTACAATAAAGATCTTAAAGAAACGTGAAACTAAATATAAAGGAATGTAAAAAAAAAAAGGTTAATTCATTAAAAGTTAAGAAAGTAACGTTTATCTGCATAATATAGATATTTCACTTTTCCACTGACAAACAAAAAAATGTTTAAGTTTATAAGGAATGAATAACATTATATTTTTCATCGCTTTTTTTGTTTAAGATTATAGCTAATGATGTATAGCACATTAGCAGGGGACAAATCTGAAGGCTTTTCAGAAACTGTGCTGTTCATTCAAACCGGCTCTGACAGTTACAAAAACTCATTTAATCCTTTGAAAACAGAGGAATCAATTCTCTGGTATTTCAACGTGTTTTTCTCCCAGTAACCAAACTGAGTTTTCATAACAGAGATGATGTTGTATTTATTTCCCCAGCCTGAAATCTGTAGACATTCATCATCCCTCAGATAAAGAAGAATGAGTGTTTAAAAGAAACGCTCCACAGAGATAAATCTGTGTGCAGTTTTTCTTGTGTTTAATAACTACAGCTCGGTCTCTTCGCCTCTCTGACAGGTGGTTATAAACTACTCCATAGTGAAGGGCCTTAAGTACAACCAGGCCACGCCCACTTTCCACCAGTGGAGGGACGCCCGGCAGGTCTATGGCCTCAACTTCGCCAGCAAGGAGGAGGCGACTACCTTCTCTAACGCCATGCTGTTTGCACTCAATGTGCTCAGTGCTCAGGATGGAGGTCAGTTGACCTTCAGTGTATCACACAAACATTTAGGAACAGGTTCATTTTGATTTGAACAAACTTTGAAAAGGTAGAGTCAACTTTTCAATTACTTTTTTTTTACTTAATCACTCACTCGAACTGAGGATGCAGTGGTTTCTAAATCCAGCTAAATATGAATATGATATGTATAAATAATGTCAAAGTACCTTCAGAGTGCGGCATGAGGTCTCTGATGGACTGACAGAGAATCAGTCTGCTGCTGAAATGTCAAGCATCTTGTCTCACACTGAAATGAACAGTTTCCTGGCTTCCTGCTCCATGTAAGACGAGTTCTTAGTTTATGCTTTTGGCACTGAAACACACGCACACAGGAACTGATCAGTGTCAGAGATACCCATATCAATGTAAACAGGTTGGAGTACAATCCTGCAGAAAGGAGAACAATTCATAGTTTAAAAAAAAAACTATAATCACAAACTACATTTCCCATGGTACACAGCAAAGCACAGGTGTCAAATGTATAGATCTCAGTCTGCCTCTAGTTTTACTCAGTCAAATATTTGCCACCCTAAAATTTAAGAGACCAAAAGTGTAGTGTAGTCAAAGTAGCATTAGCTGCAGTAGTTGTGGTTGTGTAACAGCCCCTGTTAGAAAAAGAGATTTAGAATGATTATTTAACAGCATGTCACACACTGATGGCAGAGGATGCTATGTAATCAAACCCCAGACCTTCAAGTTAATAGATGACCATCTCTACCACTGAGCCACAGTCGGGCCAAAGCACAAACATTGAAGTGTATCAGTTAAAAGTATTTTTTGAACCTTTTGAATAAAATACATGTAAAAAAGATAAATGTACAATAAGCAACGACACAGCATCCTCAGCAGATGATAAATCAACACAACCGCTGAGCTGGAGTGGAGCAGCAAACCTCTCAGTTTTTGCCATACCACATATAAAAAGTGATAAAGGATGCACTGCAGTCTATCAAATCTAAATCATCTACTTTATATACTACTGACAGCTCATTTGGACCTATGTAGTTGTAAATAACAACCAATAAATGGCTGTGTCTCATTTTGTACGCTGACACCTCTATTAATGGGATGAGTATTACCTTTATGTCACAATGTCACCTGTGAATGAAAGAGTGTCTTTAAATACTTCTCACTAATATTGAATGTAAATCAATCTAATTTTGGTGACTGAAAGGGCTTGAATGAGCATCAGAGAATATCACAGCTTCCATCATTACTCTAGCAGCAGCAGCAGCAGCAGAGTGTCTCCCTCTGCAGTCCCTTCCAGCCTCTTAATTAGGGTGAGTCATTGAGAAGTTCTCCCTCGGGTCCCGTGCTAGAGAGCTGATCTTTTCATCTGCCTAATAACACAGGACCGAGAACAAAGAGGCTTGAGTGACATCAGCCAAACACAAGTGCACAAATACACAGAGAAGGAAACACACACCAAGAGATAGATAGCCTGATAAAACAACGCTATAATGACACCAGCTCAATACAATACAGCAGTGACTCCTGCTGCATAAAAAGATACAATCTGTGTGTTGAGGGGCACCAAGAATATCACGCTCACAATGAAGAAACCGTATGAATAGCTGCTTTAATGTCAGTGTGTGTGGGTGTGTTTGAAATGAGAGCGAAAGAAGCAATTAATACATGTATTTCAGTGCGTGTTTCTGATTTCTTGCAAAAGCTGACAAATGAACAGATTGTTGTCATGGTGATTAATAAAACATCCATATCTTAGAAAGCAAATATCAGGAGGATGTATGACTTCCAATTCAATCTCAGCAGTGTGTCTGCCCCCTCTAGTGGTAAGAAGGTCACAACCTGACCTTTTGTACCCAGTTGGAGTAGAGAGTAAATACTGTAGATTGTGGCAGAATTCATGCGTAAAAGAAACGACACAAGTGTTTGGTATGAGTCACATCCTATTTTCAGACATGGGTATACTCAAAGACAATAAAATGAGCTGAAAAAATATCTTTTGGTGGGTGGTTAAAAAAAGAAAATCAAGTTAGTAATTGTTAAAAAATAACTGCGGAGGTTTCAGCTTCACAAAAAGGAACATCTGCGTTCTCTTTTCTCTTTACATCATTACATATCAAAATGTAGACGATTTGTGTTTTTTTTTATTAAGGTTAAGTTGTTTCATTTACGGTAAACATTGGTCTACTTTAGCATTGTTCTCTTGCTTTTCTTTCATGGAAAGATTTAGTTCATAGACTGCCATTCAAATGTGTAATTGGCTGATTATTTATTTATTTTGTGTTTATTTGTATAGGTGCAAGTATGCAGAAGGCCAAACAATGCCACACACAACAGCACTTAGCCTGAGATTAATTACAATGCCCCTACCTATAAGGGATTTGAAATACATCAAAATAAACAACAAATAGACACGAAACAGTGCGAAAAAAAACATATCAAGACAACAGTCAGGATACTGTAACATTACTGGGTACAAAATACCATCCAATTAAACAGTGTCATAAACAATGCTAAATATCAAATGAGACGACATGACTGAGTCTTTAACAAGACAGTTTGAGTTTGTACCTGTTAATGCTACATTTAGAGGATTTGGGGTGGGAAAAGGGACTGTTTGCTTTTGTTCTTATATGCATGGTTCATCAAGATAAAAGAGGTAAAAACACATTTAACATAGATTTGACCACAAGGTTCATTATGAAGCTTTGTCAAAGCCATATCTAATATCGCACAATTATCCTCAGCAGATACGTTTTCTCTGTTATTAAGGAAATACCCTTAAATATCTGTTTTTGTTGGTACACATGACCCTTCATATCAGCTTGAAAATGTTTGTTAAAAGTAAATTTTATAAACTTATTTATATATTTAACATAAAGATTAAAGTATATAAATATTAAGACTCTTTAATGTGTCTTTGTGCGGTTTAGCTGAAACTGGTTAACAATTGGCTGCAAGTGGCCAATACTGACTTTTCATCAGATATTGTAATAGACCTGTCATTTCTCACTGGACCGTCTCTTCGTACGAGGCTCTATCTGAAAGCAGAGATGCTCGTGTGTCAGCTCACTCTTATATTTGCATGTGTGTGTGACTGGCATAATGCCACCCAGCCTACAGACAAACCCGACCTTTTGAAACATTAACCAGAGATGCTCGCTGCACGGCTGCTGCCTGGAGGTGTGGGTTACAAGAAGATGACAGATGATACTGGTGCTGGGTGGAGGAGGAGGGGTGGAGGAGAGAGAGAGAGAGAGAGGCAGGTGAGGAGAGACAGAGGCAGAGAGGGAGGTGATGGAGGAGGGGGAAGACCAGCAGCTGAAGGGGAGAGATGGTGAGCGGGGAGTGGGTCTGTCAGTGTCTCTGTGTCTGCTACAGCCGCTTCCTCTTCTTCAGCATGTCGTGTATGTACAAAAACTCTGAGTGTGTGACTCCACTTCTGCATGGCATTTAGTATTTCAAGTGTGTGTGTGTGTTTAAAGGTTGTGGTGTTCATTCCTCCAAGTGTGTGACTTATTGATGGGTCAGGAAGTGTTGCCTTCATCCGGGTTAATAATATTCTTTGTGGAGGAAAATGTCACTCTTCTTACAATATGTATTAAATGTCACTTTATTTTTCAGACCTGTATATTCTGAGAAAGGAGATGTTACCATTAAGATCTGATCGTTTGACAGATATGAGCTACTGGTGTAGAAAGATGGTTGCTTTCATGATCTCTGAACATTAGAGGGTGTTTAATGGAAGACAAAAGTCTCATTATTAGATGGTGAAAAATATGTAAAAACATTCTTATGAGATTTTTTTTTAATTTGGATGGCAGTCTAAGTATTATTCAGTCGCTGAAATAATCCATACAGTATGTTTAGGCTTGTGGGAGAACCAAAGTTGTTTAGCATGTGTATAGGCTTATAGTTTGGGGGCCATCTGATAGGAGGCATGAGTCAGGTCTTTTGTCATTCTGTTATTCTTTTGGGTTTCTGTTACCTGATCAATGGCAGCCATTAGCACCATCGGCTGGAAGGAGAGTCACTTCCATTAGAGATGTGACCAGTGGAGAGAGGGGAGCTGTAAAAGTGTTATGTAAGAGATATCTTCCATTAAACCGAGGCAGACAGGGGTTTTGGAAACAACCCAAATGAAAGACTTATGGGTGTTCTGTTTTGTTACGTCACACTGAAATAAACTCAGCTCTAATTCAACCAAATACAATCCCTTACACTGCAAGAAATCAACCTTTCTCCTTTTACTTAAGATCGCCCATGTCTCAAATTTAAGAAGAAGAATTTTTTAATGTGAACGTTCTTTTTTTTTTTTTACTTTCCTTCTGAAGTTGTTCTCAGGAGGAACAATGAAGATAAATGTTGTCCCAGACGGGTTCAATGACGAGGAAAAGTCTCATCGTACGCCGATGAATCACTCCTGTTTGATTGTAATCCGTGATTTATCATCCTCTTGTCCTCATTTTATCATGTCTTAAATTAATTACACTCCCTATCGGCCTCTCCATCTGCAGATATCACTTCTGGTGTTAAATGGATTACATCCTAAGGACCTTGTAGTTCAAAACACATTAGAAGTAAGAGGGAAGATATTGGTGTGTCATCTCAAACCTCAAAAAGAACTCAGAACTTAATTGTTTCAAAAAACTAAGAGGTGTGATCCTTCTGTAAACTTTTATGGTGTCATTTTGTAAAGGAGGACAAAATAAATGAAGTAAAATCACTTGAATATTAGACACCAGAAGCACGTGTGTGAAGCAGCAGTGTGTCAAGGATTTTTTTTCTTTTTTCTTTCATTCTCTTCAGGCGCTGTTATTTAAATCAAGAGGATGTTTCTGCTGGGTACACCCCAGGGTCAAAAGGGTTAGGTTTAGTGTTAGATTTAGGTCTGTCATAAAGTATGTAAAATAAAATGAGCCACACACACACTCACACTCACACTCACACTCACACTCACACACACACGCACACTCACACTCACACTCACACTCACACTCACACTCACACTCACACTCACACTTGCTATGAAGTCCTGCTTGCTTTTTACTGAACAAGTGGATTAATTAATTTATGTTAATTTACCTCGTGTGAGGGATTATTATGCTTTTTATTGCACATTAGTCATTACAGAAGAAAGAGAATGATGATCAACTGCAGTTTAATTCTCTGTCATTTGCTCGTTAATTGTCTCCTCTGGGAACTAAGTCTTTCTCTCTCTCTCTCTCTCTCTCTCTCTCTCTCTCTCTCTCTCTCTCCCTGCCTTCATTGGTATCTTCAGGTCCAGCTGTGCAGCGTCATGTCCAGAACGGACCAACTTCAGACGAGATGGAGGTTCAGAGAGCCAGGTAAAGAGTCATTACTGAAGCTGAAACTATGAAGTCATTTAGTTAATGTTAAAGTAGTACTACACAAAGTGGCTTGCTGACAGTCAATCAAAGCGCTGAAAACAAAACTTGGCCTTAAATCTGAAGTGGTTCTGAGTTAAACTAAGCCTGTCTTTACTTGTTTTTTGTAAATGAGCTTTACTTATTTTTTAGAATACAGAAATAACATGGAAAACTTGAAGAACACACTGAGCAGATAAAGCACAAGGCTCACATTCAGTGATCGCTGTGTTTCTGACCACCTGATGAATCCTTTAAGGGCTGCGTTTCTCTTCATCAAGAGCTGAATAAAATAACTGATTGGCAGTTCATTTCTACAACCCGCTAGTTTTGTTTGCTGTATACAGTGGGGTTTTTAGAGCTTCTTCACTGAATATACATGCATTTTTTTTAAATAAAAAGATTTTCAGCTATATTTAAGTCCTCCTAACAGTGATGAGACATTAGCCCACTGATTCCTGATTGTTTACTGGTAAGTCTGCTCAACTTTTATTTTGGCATTTTTCCGGAAATGTACTAAATAATATCCACACCAGCAGATGAACTCTGAGTGAACACAGCCAAAAATTAAAATATTGGATAGGATTATGGTCATAAGTGCAGCCCCATGTGTCTGACAACCTGCCACACAAAGAGAGAAAATATGAACCCTGGCAACTGAAATAACAGCCGATCTCTTTGACCTTTATTTCTTTTCTCTTTCATCCCACTCCTCTTAATACCCTCGGTCTCCCTCATATGACTCCTGGGGATAACAGTCAGATAAAAATACGTATACAACACAACATATTGCTTTTCCCTGCATCATTGAGGGAAATGGAATAATCCAAAATAAATGGATGAGTACAGGTCAGGATGATGCTTGAAGCAATTTCCGTTGCTTACTAAGCATCCAGCATTTCTTCCACCGTGGCCACGACTCCTCTCAGAGACGGACTCAGGCACAACAACGTCTTTGTTGCTGTTTTTAAACCTTTTTCCAGCTCTGCCCATTGGTTCAGCCAAATGCTAGGGCTTAAGCGAACAAATATGATGGGAGTTACAGCTCTGTCTGATCTAATGTCTGCTAAACTGTACCTCCTGCACAAAGGATTACGTCTGTGATTGTGCTGGGAGATTGTGTGCTTATGCGAGTGGATTTCCTGTGTGTGTGTGTGTGTGTGTGTGTGTTTTTGTGTCAGCAGATGCAAATTCATTTCACTGAGCTCTCTCTCTAGTGGTAGCAGGGCCGTGTTACTCAGCAGCTCTGCTCCGGCTGCGTGCTGCTGCTGTCACATCAGGAAGGTTTGCTAACTCAGCACTTCTGCTCGCTACCACACAGCTGGAAAATTCCACTTCCTCTCCAGGAGATTTCTCCTTCCTCTCCTGAATCATCACATATGTGAGGCGAGATGAGGAGGGTTTGATGAAGAGGACGAAGCTGTTGGGTTGAGAGTGGACAGAGACGAGGGCGAGTGTTATGGGTTTGAACTGAAGAGGAGGAAGATGTTTAAAGGGGAGACTTTGCAGAAGGGCCCAAAGTTCTTTTCAAAATAGGTTTACAAGTAAACTTTAAACTAGCCAAATCAAAGAAGCCTTAAGATAATGTTCATCAGCAGATATTATCAGATGCAATTTAAATGCAGTTTTGCACAAAATACTGATGTCATTGAAACTATTCTTGTTCTTTTATAGCTTCTGGTTTACTAGTATTATAGCAACTTGAATACAAAGACTTATCCCCTTTTTCTTTATCATTTCACATAATTTGTGGTTACAGTGGTACTAGAAATTAAAGAGTTTAGTGCAAACACACTGAACTTTATTTGGTTATTTAATGAGGTATGAATTAAAAGAACAACAATGTGTTTTAATCATGAGCTGTTTATTTTGTTACTTTAATTAGCAACTTTTTTACTAAAGATTCTGTGACAAATTTTCTTTTGGCGCCCCCTATAGAAAAAGCAGTTCACCTCATCTCTTTGCTGAATGTGTCCTGTATGTGTTTATGGAGTGTTAGTGTTTCCTTAATGGGAAGGTTCAGAGTTTTCAAGTGGGGTTGTATGAAGTAGTAAGTGTATTAGCCGCATGCTGGTCAGTCGAGCCCCTTCATTGAGAAACTGGTCAGATGATGGCTCTGAAGCTAGGTTAAACATTGCCGTAGGCGGGGCCATTTGTGCCCTTTAATTTAGCTATTCATTTTCACGGGGAAAAAATTATCCAAAAAACAATGAAATTGTGCATGTATGTAATGTTTACATAATTTACTTTGCTATCAGCAAGCCACTTTGTTTTTAATCAACCTTTAAAAAATCTTAACTATCCCTGCAATCACTTCATCTGTCACCTACCTTCTACTGCAGTAGTTTCTGTTATTAATTATAACAAAATAGAAATATTAACTTTACTAACCAATAGTGAACTTTGTCTATGTTTTGTGGCCATTTAAAACCAAAATATATTTTTCAGTGAAGATGGTTGAATGAATGAACTACATTAATCTGTGTTATGTTATTATTTAAAGTTATTTAAAGAGGGAAACATTTTTTAAAAAGCAAACAATTATACAAAACTAAAAAGATGAAGAGGGCAAATTGGTTCTGTTCTTCTCTAGTTTTTTTAAAATTCTGACGAGAAAAGGACAAATATATTTATCATGAAAGCTTAATTCTGACTATTTTTAGTTGTGTTTGCTCACAGCTTGTAGTGCCTCCTGCAGTGTTCGCTGCATTTGAGGCCTCTTTGGGTTTTCTTGTCACTTTTCCTCAGACCTGCTGATGTTTGAAGTTTAAGGCAGGAGGACTTTTCTCCGGCTGCTGCTTTGAGGTGTATGGCCGTAGTGCTCCTGTGGGACTGCAAAGTGACAGAATCGTAGATTCGATGTGACATTTGTGATATCGTGTGGCTAGCTGTGTTTCCTCTCTGTCCCTCTAGGCAGATGATGGAGCAGCAGCAGCAGATGCAGGCACACATGGAGCGGGAGCGACGGACGTCCAACTCAGGTACTCAAATCAAAGAGCCCTTTTTTTGTATGGTTAAGGTTTTTTTCCCAATAAACATTTTTACAATAACCTTTTTATTTAATGAACTGCATCTGAACCCAAATAAACATCTTTAAATAACAGATTATGTCACAATTCTCCCCCCCAGGTTCTCCTTTCCAAGGCCACCCTGCTGTACTCTCTGTGGCCCCCCCTGTAATTCCTCCCCCTATGAACATGGGTGGTCCTCCTCCGCCTCCACCCCCACCTGGACCTCCACCACCTTCAGCAATGGCACCCCAACCTCCTCTCCCGCCCCCTCTCCCCCTTGGAGGTGGATGTCATGGGGAAGAGCCCCAGGCAGCGACAGGCCTCGCCGCTATGATCGCAGGAGCCAAACTGCGACGCGTTCAAAGAGTGAGAAGCAGTTTATCTTTGTGGCTTTGATGTTTTGATAAATTTTCCTCCAGTCAGACAGAAAATAACCAGATTATCTCTACCTGACGTGACTGACATTCTTGATAAATTCACTGTTTGTACATAATCTGAGAGTAAAAAGTAACTGTGGGGGGTGTTATTCTTTTCCTCTCCTCAGGCTGATGACAACTCTTCAAGCGCCAAAAACGATGCCAACAGGACAAGTGGAGGAAGCGGAGGACTGATGGAGGAGATGAACGCTCTGCTGGCACGAAGGTCAGAGTGATGAGAACAGAAAACCACTGAATTGTTTTTGCATCGACATCCTGCAGCCACACCGGACATTAATAGTCACAATTGCCTTTAATCAATGTAAGATTGTTTATAACTACACTAAATGAAAATATTGGCAGTTATTTTTCTTACTCGAGGCATCTTCTTTCCCCCAGAAGGAAAGCAGCTTCAGAGAAGCCTGACGACAGCCAAAATGTGAGTGAAAGTCATTTACAGTAATTGAGATGATGATGATTAAAGGATTGCATTATCTGGGTGGTTATTAAATTAACATAATAATGATTTTTATTGTAGTTCCAATTGTGTTTTTTTCACAAAGTGATAAAAAACAGAGGCATTCAGAAAATCATAGTCATGATGTCATAGTCATATTACAGAAACATTACACACAAACTAAAGATATTAAATTAAAGGAACCTGTATTGTTTTGTGTGAATGGGATAAACCAGTGCAAAATGTTTTAACATCAAATAGCAGCATTTTGATCATGCTGGATGAAATGATGCTTATCCACTATTTTCTTTTTTAAGGATGACCCAAATTCTTCGTCACCCAGCACTCGCAGTGGACAGAATGCCACAGGTGGGGAAAGCACAGTAAACTATGTGACAACATAACACAATGTACTTTTTATGGATTTGGCATCAGCATGGAGTCAGTGACTATAATAGACACACTTGTTGATACTGAAGCCTTGAGCAGACATGCATCTGTACATTAAGTTTACTGCATTTTCCTGTGATAATGTGTCATTTCAGTTTTTCATCTAATACCCTGTGTAGCAAAAGTACTAAAAAAACAACATCACAGAAATAGTCTTAGTTTACCTCATTAATGTGGGCAATGGCAGCATTGCATGTTGGCTCTGGCCTATCACGGTGACCTGTCTATTGTTTTGTTTCCTGGATCACCAGAAAACGGTCCTGTCATCACGACAAAACATGCGGTGTTGTTTCAGGACGAGGAGTTAAATAATCCGTTATAATAGGAAAATCTGCTTTTTTATCCTGAGAAATATAAGTTAAGATCTCGAGAGAAAAACCAAAAATAACATGTTTTCACATTGGGTGAATAAAATATATGGATTTATGTCCGCTTAAGTTTCTATTTTACGATTCTCAAAACTCTTACTCTACATTTGAGGTGGGAATGTTAAACTTTTACAACTTTTTTCCAGTCATTTTTTACACTTCAGATTGGGCTTTTACACATACAATATTAAATAATCTAACAAAATCCAATGTTTTTACGGAACAAACTTTCCAAAGTCATATAAAGTCAATAAGATTGGGAACACTTTCAAGCAATAATGCTATTTATGCATGCATCTAGATGATCTAACTAAAGGTATTATACATAATAAAGTATCACTAACTGAGGACTTTTTCCTTCACTGAGTTCTTTCACTGTCGTTTTTCTCGGAATAATTTACATCTCTACCACAATTGAATACAATTTTGTACTTTTTCTTGTAAACACTGTGATTTTTTTTTCTTTCCCTTTAGTACAGTAGGCGTATAGGCCATGCGTACTTCTGTAAACTTTACTTCTGTAAATGTTTTAGGGGACTCTGGGAAATGCAGGAAAATTATACAAAAAAAGGAAAGGAAAGAAAAATGTAAAGTGACTCTCTAAAAGAAAACTGATCACAATGATTATTGTGCTCTTGATTACTTAACAGAATGTATCTCTTGATCAGTCTCTCAGTCTGACTGTTGATCAAACTCAAATCTGCTCTGTGTAAGTTATCAATAAATCCCTGCTGGTTTTTCAGTGAAACCTCCTCTTCTGTTTTCTAGATGGTGCAAAGAAGCCGTGGGACCGAGCTAACTCTGCAGACAGAGCAATGGCTTCAAGGTGAGCGCTAGAAAGGACAGCTTCTCTGATAGAACAGTGAAGCAATAAACAACAGTCGCCCTAACAGAGAATGATTGTTTTTATGTTCAGGGTACGGTCTGCGGGCGGTGGAAGTGACACAGACTCGATAGACCTCGATAGGATGAAACAGGTAAAGAAACACACCTAAAATAAACACTTTAACCACCAGACAACATGTGCTCCAAACGTGTGCTTCATGTGTACAAGGATTTAAAAAAATAAAGCAATGTTTGTTTCATTATGAATTATAATGTGATTTCTTTCTTTGTGCGTCATTAGGAAATCTTGGAAGAGGTTTTTCGTGAATTGCACAAAGTGAAGGATGAAATCATTGATGGTATGTTTACTTCCATTCGCTCACACTCAGTAATGGTATATGGACATTTAGGACCACAGGCTAATTTATGATAATGAATATATAATTGGAAATCTAACTAGTGGAGTGATGGGAAATGGGCTGTTATGTAGAGAAGGGTCCAGTAGGTGGCAGTAGAGTGTCAGAAACATCATCATAATAAATTCATGCATCCAAGGCTGCATTACATACACATAAAACACCACATTTGAAAACATGGATTCATCAATATTTTTTTGAACTACATGGATAAAAACAATATGATTACTTAAAGTTATTTAATTTTTAGTTAATACAATTCCTGATTTGTTAACAATGTAGTAAATCATATTATAGAAATGTGCCGAACAACCTTGATAGTCATTGTACCACAGGACTGAAGAATGAAGCCAAACTGATATTCAAATATTACATGAAAGTCATTCATAAAACATTTATTGGACATTTTTATTTACACACAAAAGTCATAGATTACAATATCATACTATACATTAAGAAGTAATAAAGGTAATACATGAAATATCTTCATATCATAGAAACTGTACTAACACATGTATTGGACATACAGTATACTTGCACAATATAATCACAAATTATAAGCTTATATAATTTTAAAAAAAAGGTTTCACAGTCATAGTCTATTACAAATAATACCAAATTTAAGAAAAAAAGGGCAGTAGCACAATTATTGATCACTTTTTTCAGAATGATAATATATGACAAAGCGATTCTGATGTTTGAGTAAATACTTTGTTATAGCAAAACATTTAGACATATATTACTCAATACAATGGATCCTACATTGTCCATAATGCAATAGTACAGCTTTCTTTTTGTCAGATGCACCCTGCCCGTCAGACCTCAAGCTTGTGACACAGGCTGTGTTACATTTTTCATGTCTTAATCTTAATCAAGGTAACACTGATAACAATACTGATTACGATATCAGGGTTCATTTCCTTATTTCCTGATACCATTAGAGAGAAGATTGTTCAACTGGTTTCACATAGACTGTGTATTACATTGATAAATATCATCTAGTTATATAGTATGGCGTATGATGATGATTTGAACCTCTAATAACTAATTAAAAAGAAACTTCACCGAACGTCAACACAAACCAGTGTGATAATAACGAAAGATCATGACAGAGTTCACATTTGGGAGAAAGTTATGTGACGTGTATTTTAAATTTCAGTTTGACTCACATGCCATCTGTAAACATGAAGGAGGCGGGGTTTATGACCTATATTGCAGCCAGTCAGCAGGGGGAGCTCTAAATATTCTGGCTTCACTCCCCTGTAGAACTTCAGCGTCCACTGTTATTTACAGTCTATGTGTTGTGATAAAACCACTGATCTCCCCCTTCAGTTTGTCATTTCAGGTTACCACTAAGCACAAATGAATATGACTTTGTTATGGGGATATTTTTCCAGTCTTACCTGTACGATAAACCTGACTTTGTTCCTGTGTTTTCTCTTCTTTGTCTGCAGCCATTAGACATGAACTCAGTCGAGTTAGCACGACATAATCTTTCAGAGCCACTCCCTGACATGAACCACCTTTTGGAAAAAACCATTGCCCCTGCAGCAGCTCCTGTGGTCCTGATGAAGAGGAGGAGGATTAGGAAGAAGAGGAGAATCCGTAACAGAGGCCAAAACTGTGACATCCATTCATCCAGTTCAGCTGCGGTGTTGAAGCGACGCGGCTACATTGCTATAACACCTCAGACGTGTCTTTGTAAAGTTTGGTTTGTCTGTTTGGAGAGAAGGACGTGAACAGGGCTCACTCTCGCACTGATTCCTCTGATTTCTAAACATTTTATGTCTATTTGTTCGCCCACTTTGCCCGCCTGTCTTTGGCCTGAAGGAAAATGGATAGAATTCAAATTATTTTTATTTGTTTTTCTTTTTTCACAGTTTATTGGAACGTTTTTATTGTTACTATCATTTTCATTATTATTTCTATCATTTTTATGATTGTCAAATGTATTGTTAATATGAGTAGTAGTAGCGTAGTGAATACAATGGTAATAATGAGGAAATGATAATGGGAATATGATAGGAATGGTAATGTTGATCATTATTGCACATCATTTAATGTCAGCCTTTTGTATTTTCTAATGGTTGTTTTCATTTGTTTTTGTTTGAGATGAATTCACAAGTACATTAAAAAAGTGTTTTCTCATCATCTCACCTGGATTTTTAGAGGTTTTTTATTCTTTTGGCCAACACAGCTATGTGGCAGGAAAAAAAAAACAGGTCCTGACCTGAAACCGAGGCAGGGCTCTTTGGATATTGCAACCTTATGAACAAAAAAAAAAGAATAATACACCAGAGTATTTGTGATCATGTTGTTAATAAAATGTTTATTGGCTGCAAGGATATGGAGAAGTATTGTTCATTTTATTCTCTCCTTTTATGACTAAGTGCTTCCTGGTTTGACAACGGAAAAAAAAAGAAACACGCAAGTTTAACAAGAATTCAAATAAAAACTGTGAACAATGTCTTGGATAAATGAGGCTGTCTCTTTCCCTTTGTGCTTGCTTGTTAGATTTGGGCTTTTTTTCTAGCTATTTTTTTCTCTCCGTTACTTTTTTAAAACATAAAAACCTATGCTCATTGAATAGGTGCCATAGCTCACAGCTGGTGCAGCATAGAGAAGTGTGAAACATCTGAACTGCTTCTGTGTGTTATTCATGTGGTTCACACAATGCAGGATGCTGTCAGTGTCTGACAAAAAATGTTGGATGATTTCAAAGATAAAACCAAGTTAGAGCACATAGAGAGCAGTACTTAACTTTAATTATCCTCCCATTTTCCCCCATGTCTACAACAGGCAATAGTTTGAGTCCTCAGAATGATATTCTAATCATAAACATAAAGCTAGATTAGGTAATGTATTTCAAAAGGTCTTTGTAAATGTAATCTTGCAGGTTTGTTCAAAATTGCCTTTCTCCATTTGAAAATAATGCATGAGGGAAGAAATCATTAATCTCATTATTGTTGTTTTGAGGTTAAATGTCACAAAGGTGATACTTTAAGCTGAAAGGATAATGAACTATTTCCTTGCTTAACTCCACAGAACCACTTGTGCAAAACTAAGAAAAAAAAACGGGTGCTCATGGTGGCTTGTGCTCCAGTAAAAACCAGGTGCTCTTGCAGACTAAAGAATATATACTTTTAAGTGGGGGAGGCCACTAGGTTGTCTCCAGGCACACTAACTTGGAGACAAGGATTAAGTGAAAATGTCTTTAAATAATCAATCAGGGCATATCTCTTTAAAAAAAAATAATAATAATAAAAAGATGAAAAAAATTAGGCAATTTTTGACCATGCAGGGTCTCCTTCGGGGCGTGACTAGGTCTTCACTTGTGCTGTACTATTTATAACCAGTAAGTATGAGATTAATCAATTAAGGCAAATGAAAAAGATGCTATAGTTAGAGAGACATTCTCATTTCATCCAAATCATGTTAATGCTGGTTGCTGGTCAGGATACGCAACTCGTATAACATACTTTTGGATTAAGTCAAATTAAGTCAAGTCATGTAAACACGTTAAGATTGAAAAAGCTGCAGCTCTAATTACTAACATTTAATTATGACTGGGTTCAGATGTTGACTCCATTGATCATAGTTATGTAAATTTATTTTTTTAAATGCTACCTATCCTAAAGGTACGGTTTCTGAGTATTTGGCTAAAGCCCGTGTCACTGAAGTTTGGGGAACCCCCTGGTACAAAACAACTAGTACCACACCAGTAGACCAGCAACACTTGGTATCGCTAGACTCACCAAAGTCTCGCGATGCTGGGCAGTGGAGAGTATAGTGGCAACGAGAAGTGGCGTGGGACGGAGTGGAGAGAGTTGTTATCGAAGAAGAGGGGAGCGCAGACAGAAGAGGCAGGAGCAGAGCAGGGGGTGTGTGTGTGTGCGTGTGTGTTTTTGTGAGGTTCAAAATAAAAAAAGAAAAAAGGAGCACAACACGGCGTGAATGAGAGAGGCAAGCTGGCGGAATTCAACATGGCATCCGGAGATACGCTGTACATTGAGACAGACGGCTCGGAGATGCCGGCCGAGATCGTGGAGCTCCACGAGATAGAGGTGGAGACGATACCGGTGGAGACTATCGAGACCACGGTTGTCGGAGGGGATGACGACGACGACGACGAAGACGACGACGGGCAGCCCATGATCGCGCTACAGCCGCTGGTTACGGACGACCCGAACTCGATGCACCACCACCACCACCACCATCAGGAGGTGATCCTGGTCCAGACCCGGGAGGAGGTGGTCGGCGGAGATGACTCCGACATGCACACGGATGGAGGCAGCGGGTTCGAGGACCAGATCCTCATCCCGGTACCGGCTCCCGGGGTGGAGGACGAGTACATCGAACAGACTCTAGTGACTGTGGCCGGGAAAAGCTCTCTGGGTCGGGTGAAACGGGGAGGCAGCGGCGGTGGGAAGAAAGCGGGCAAAAAAAGCTATTTAAGCGGTTCGGAAGCCGGTGGAAGAAAATGGGAACAGAAGCAGGTGCAAATAAAGACTCTGGAGGGGGAGTTTTCTGTTACAATGTGGGCATCGGGTAAGTAACATTAGCCCCGGCCGTGTGTGTTGTTAGCCGCTGCATGAGGCCTCGTTGTCAGGGCGTTGTCCTGCTGCACCAGACTAGTTCCTGGAGGGGCCAGCTGTACTGTCGGGAAAACAGACAAATCATGCAAGAAATTGTTGCAGAAACACTTCTACGCGATGGCGAATTGTTTTTGTTTTGAAGGGAGGCCATCTTTTAGGTGTTGCTGGGCGCCGCCATATTCCCCGAGATTAGTAAGTATGGCGGCGGCCCCGAAAAAATGGCGATAGTCGCGGCCAGTGCAGAGATGGCGGCGGTGCATGAGGGGGGTTGATAAGACAGCGGGGGTCTGGGGTGGTAGTCAGGCGGCTTTAATGTGGTTGAAAGTGGCTCTTTAATGCAGCGTGAGAAGCGCCAGGTGGTTATTTAAAGCGTTTTACTGTTCTGTGTGTTTGAATTTGTGGTCGGGTTTGGTTCGATTTAGCCAGCAATTAGTCACTTAGCATTTTAGCTGTGGTTGCTGCTGGTGGACAGCTCTGCGCATGCGTCAGGCAAGCTCACTGCTTCTGTGCGGTCTGATGCTACTGAGGGCAATATCGATCAGGCTGTCCATCATTAATGAAAAACTAAGTCAGTCTAGTAGGCTACCTAAATACCTAAATTTTTATTTGACAGCTAGATTTAAAAAAAAAAAAAAAAAAAAAGATAATTATTTAATGTTAGTTTGTTAATTTTATGTTAGTTAGTAGGTATTTTTCAATGTTATTTTTAATTGTGGCTTCAGGCTTTTTGTTCTCTAGTTTTTTCCTTTACACTCGACATGCCTAAAGCCTCTGTCGTTTTCATCAGCATTTCATTTGCAGTACACTTACCTGTACTATACTATATACTTATCATGCGTGATATAAATTTAAACTTGTTCAACATTAGTTATAGTAGAAGTGAATTCTATCTGAAAAACGGATCATTTCTCTAATGGGGAGTCCTCTGAAGGTGATTATGCAGACTGCTGTTATTAGCTGAAGACCAGTGCTGCTGTAGATGTTGTTGCTCTCCCTCACACTTGTTGCTAGGGAAACACCAATCTGTTATCCGTTCAGTCTCTGTAATTTGTGCCTAGATAACAATAAAGACATCGACCATGAGTCGGTGGTGGAGGAGCAGATCGTCGGGGAGAACTCCCCTCCAGATTACTCCGAGTACATGACGGGGAAGAAGCTGCCCCCTGGTGGCATCCCGGGGATCGACCTGTCAGACCCCAAACAGCTGGCTGAGTTTGCCAGGTGAGTGTATTGCCTTGGGCTCTGCATCCTGTTCCTGAATGTGTAAACACATCTGTTTCCTGAGAAAAACACAAGCTGTGGGTAACTGTAAACGATTCTGCATGCTCTGACACACAACTCAATCACCACATATTATGACTCTAAACAGTAGGTGCTGTTTTTGGTAAATATTATTGTATGTATTTATTTTTAATTTAATATGCTGCTTCTATCTTTATAAATATCACATTCAGGAGTTGTATGTGCATAATTCTCATACATTGTGCACAATATAAACATCTCTTTCACTGTTCTGCACACTTAAGGTGGAATGTGCCTGCTGTGACAAATAGCCTCTATCAGTACTGATACTTGTTATTGATTAACTGTAAAATTGAACAATATATCTGGACTGTTAAATGGCACAGTGGATTGTGTCAGAGGGATGGCTTTATGCCCACGGTCGTCTTTATATTTGTTTAAAAAACACCATCAAACTGACCCATCTTTTTATCCCTTACAGGATGAAGCCCAGGAAAGTGAAAGAGGACGATGCCCCCCGGACGATAGCTTGCCCTCATAAAGTGAGTTTTAAATTGATTTTTCCCAAAGGCATCGGGTCACCCCTTGCTTAAATATGAGGTCCTGGTTTCTGATTGGTTTAATTGTCTTACATTACCGCTTTGTTGCTGTGGGCGTAATTGAACATTTCTGTAAAGGTTATTTAAAAGTGGTCAAAGCACTTGAGTGTATTGATTTTCATGTACTTACAAGAATGATCAAGCCTTATCTGACCTTTGCATGTTTAGCTTTTGTAAATGCTTTCATTGACTCTATTAGCCGTCTGCCATTAGAGTGTGAAGCTGTTAAAAGTGCGTTATCACCTCAGGGAAAAGAGAGACGGAGCCACTTTTTTCCAAGTTCAAACGTCATTAAAGGAAAACTTACCAAAGGATGAGGACACTTTAATAACTTTTATATTTGTGACAAGAAAAGCAAAAACCTTTTCTGTGCACCACTTTTCAGTTTTCATGCCTGCTGCAAAGAACTGTCCATTATTTGCTGTTTGTCAACATTGTGCTGCACTTAACTCTGGTCCCCAGGGCTGCACAAAGATGTTCAGGGATAACTCAGCCATGAGGAAGCATCTCCACACACACGGACCTCGCGTGCACGTCTGCGCAGAGTGCGGCAAGGCTTTTGTCGAAAGCTCCAAACTCAAACGTCACCAACTCGTTCACACAGGAGAGAAACCCTTTCAGGTTGGCATCTGGACGAACTTCACACTCCCACACGCATAGATTTTCTCACACTATTAATACATCTAAAGCACATAAGCCCATGACTATTTTAAGCCAAATTCAAACCAAGGAGAATGAGATCATAATTAACTGCTCTCTCACAGGATGCAAATTATCACCCACCAACTACCCAAGTCAGTAAAGTTGTCTTCATTAGATACATTAAAGGTCCCCTTCTTCACCCATCACAAACAACTTCAGTCACAAAATCTGTTTTTCCTGTCTTACTTAAATATTTAAAACAAAATG